TGGTACATCCGTCGAAACACGTCATATATTGTATAATAATGTATAATATTATATATATCTGTCTCATATTTTTGTAATTTTACCGGAAACGAATTTGCCCTTTGTATATTATGTTACTTACCATTAGTATACCTACCTATAGGTATGCTTGCTACAGTGGACTGTGGTATATAGTTGAACTCGACGTATAATTCATATTTATCTATGAAATTCAAATAATGTATTCCGTATGTACCTATGGCGACAAAATTTAACTTATTGACCCCGGGAGACTTGAACGCAAATCCTTTAACCGTACACAGTTTTATTGTTCTTTTATGCATGTCATTTATTGCGTATATTTATGTTGTGTATAATTTTGAATGCTTTTCGTCGAAATTAATTCCAATGTAATTCCGTGTCGTGTACAAACACAATAAATAGTTTATAATTAATATACATGTCAATGCGTATATAACCATCCATCAATTTTATTAAATTATCGGATAATTGATAACTTATCTACGGTTGTAAAAATATTATATTATGTTTGATTTATGCATTTGTGCACTTGCACTGTGACAAATTTAAAAAAAAAATCATCCCTAGAAATTCTATCAATACCTCTGTATAGTTTATGTGTACCTATTAACTTAAAATTAGGTTTTTTCGGCATAAAAGAAATCATTTCCTACGCAAGTGTCTAGGAAAAAAAAATTTTAAACACTTTCTGCTGGCACCACCGGAAGGTCATTGTACCAATTTACGGCCTCGCCACTATTGTGGTGTGGTGAATTCGTAATTCGGTTCGGCCAACGCCGTCTTTGGACTATATATACGTTATAACTTATAACATCCTTGGTCCCTCGGTCTGGTTCACACGCTTGTACACTAATAATTTCACAACGGTATGTACTTTAAATTAACGTTAAGTATACCATTTCAATAACTAACAATTTTTAAAAAGAAATGCATATTTCTGTGGCCCTCCTTAAACGAAAATGAATGAAATAGTGGTAATGAAGTGAAATGTGTAAATAAATTATAATACCTAATTGTATATTGATATTTAAACCTGAATCTCACTATCCTTGACAACATTGCACATATTTTATATCATAAAAACTAGAAAACTGGTGGTATTTATATTTTTAGTTTTCACATAGGTATCGTATAATTTGTACGATTTAGTCAATTCTATTTTGCTATTTTAATATAATTATTGGTATATGTCAAAATAATATTCAACATTTCTGTTACTTATATAAGCCCACTGAAATATATACTTTAAAGTTTTATTATATATTAATTAAAAACCATCCGATTTCAAATTATAATATTCGAACAAACTATACTGGAAACAAATTTAAACAAAAACAACAAATTTAGATCATTATTAAAACTAGTTATGGTTATAAATGCGTACACGTATATTATATGGCCTATAGGCACAAAACAAATTACATTAAAACGTGTCAAATTGTATGCAGTGGATCACTTTGAGTACTTATTCAAGTGCAACGTGTCCTCGATCTAGAAATATAGTTTTATTATAATAATAATAATAGTATAATACAGTATAAGTTTATGTATAATGGCCACTATATTATACGATACCGTGTATTGTCCGGAGATTGGTTTGTACCTTTCGCTTTCCAGTCCTTGATTTTGGCTATGTACCGAGGAGATGACAGGTCACGTAAGACCGCATTTAGGGGGACATATTATACGTGTACGTGTATTTGGATGTCCGTTCAAATGGCTGCGACCGGCCCATAAATGGACGGGACACTACGTCACCGTTTAGGACTTTGAAAATTTGAAAAGCTGTATAACATGTGCTGCATTAATTATTTAAAACCTGTAATGTACGGTCGTTATATTATTATTATAGCCGATAGTAATGCACTCGTATACGCGTGCTTTAATTTTGATAAATATATTTTTTGAGTATTAAGTTTTAAATATAGGAAACAGACATTGATAACAAATATAAATATAAAACCGGTCAAGGTACGTGATATAATAATCAATTTTTGACTGATATATCAATTTAGAACCATTCACTTTGCGGCGAGTTGCTAGCATTGATAATAAAAGATATAATATATTTATACTTTGGTGTCCGCGTTGTGATTTAGTTTGCACCACCCTAGAATTTTCCTATTGGACTAGAGAAGACAATAATAACGAGTCGACATAAATATATTGCTCATAAACCGCATTACTGTCGTTATAATAATATTACAACAGTCGACAACACATAATACGTATTACGTAGTATGGCGGATTGGTGGGCGAGATGGTTTTCTCTCTCCACTCACATCAGCCTTTATATATACACAGAGACGTATATATAATATAATAATATAATAATAATATATAATACTGCTGTGCAGTGCGGTTCAATGGCCGGTCTGTGCCATTGAAAAGAGGAGTAGTTGTACTAGCAATCATGAGATAAAGTCTGCGCAAAAACGTCAGAGCCCATTGATTCCCACTCGGCTTGTCTTGTTGTCATTATTATTATTATTATTATATATATATATATTTATACTGTATTATTGTGTGGACCAGTTATCTATATTTTTTTTTCGTGTGGCTTATTTTTTATGTTTTACTGTCTGTTCCGCGATTGTAATCGACAACGTTGCATATTCATTCGTCCGATCAAATAGTCAACCGGAAGCCGTCAAATCAAACCCACTTTGGGGTTGGCTCGCCAATAAATTAAATTTCGTTTTTGAAAATCCTATCTCACGCTTGCGCCCAAATTTTCCCACAGGAACAACCAAACGACGTAGACATTGCTAAATCACACGTCCTGTAGACATCCAAATTCAATAATCTTAAGAACAATCTTACTTAAGAATAATCTATTTCTTTCATTACACTTGATATCTCTTCATACATGTCTTTTAATTTTCGTTATTTGTATTTTGAGTAATTTATATTTCTCGAATCTAGGATTTCACTTATTAGAAAAATAAATCCCTAACGAGGAAAATAATCCATTCTAAAAGTATGTACCTATAACCTAAATAATTGTAAATAATAATTGTAATGCAATAATAAATGTAAATTGTTATTAATTTATTATTTTTACTATTGAATAAAGTGCAAGAGGACATGGAGTATGTATTTAAAACATAATAATAATGTTGATATAAAAGTATAGCCCATGAAGTGTTTATTATGGGGTGTGCTCTTTTGCTATTAAGAAAGTATGTGATATTTATTTTGTGTGGTCCTATGACAATTACTTCAAACTTTCTGGATACAATCCAGGACGAATGGAACAATATTTTGTTAGAAGTTTTCTTGAGTTTCATGGAATAAGAGACATCTATTGTTAGTGCATGTAGTCGTGTGACTGTGCATTTGGTTTTTTATTTAGGTTAGTACCTATATGCCTGAGTGTGAGAATTTTACAAAGGGATGATTGTATGAAATAAATTTTAAATAATAAAGAGATTATTTATTATTGCACTTAGGTACTAATGTTATACAACACTTAACCGAATTACATTTCTAACAACGCCAGTGAAAAAAACCAAATATTTTATCCGTTTTTAGACCCACTAATAAGTAAACCAATACGAAATCACGAAAAAACTACTTAAGTTTAAATATATATATAGCCTACCTATATTAAAATTATATACTTTTTTAATATATGGCCACCGTCTCGCCATGGCGCATTTATAAAAGTAAAATAAAATAAATTAGGTTTTAATAAAGTCGAAACAAGTTTATTATCTCAAAATAAAAAATCGTGTACGTATCAGAAGTGTACTTTTGGGATTTAATGTTGGGTTTGTATAATGTTGTATTACATGACCCATTACCTAAAAGCATAGATATTTTAGCTAAAATAAAATTGAAAATTTAATACCATTTACCATTGAGTATATTCATTTATTTAGTATAGTTTTAATGTACCTATATTCAATTATATTATAAATATATGTGCTTTTAAATAATAATTATTACTTATTTCTTTATTACCTATATATATATTATTTATACGCATAGTCATATTTATTAAAATTTAGGTATAACACAAAATTCAACTATTTACTTTAGATTTTTAGTGGAGTGATGAATAAAATTAAGTATTGGCTTTCTTCGCCTTTTGAAGCAGTAAAATGCTTTGATTTTCAATTTTTAGGGTGTTTTTCTAGTAGAAACTTGTGACTAATACTCTAATTGGTACTTTTAAGGGATTAATTCTCTATACTTTTCAAAATACCCGGGATAAACAACAAAAAAAATTAAGAAAAAACAGGAATTTTACTCAAACTTGATCAAATTGATTTTTATAATTATTGTTGTAACTCAAAAACTAATATACCAATTAATACTTAAAATTTTCACCAAATATTTCTGTTAGAATTTTCTATACATGATATATTCTTCAAAAAAAGTTCTCAGCTAGCATGTAGGTATAGTACTCACTTACAAATAAGAATTTAAATTAAATTAAATTACTCCTAATTACTATGTACAATGTATTACAATGTATTTCTTTAAGTATAAAATTAATTTATTTTTATACTGGACATATTTTTATCCAAAAACCATGTTTCTTATTCATAGTCTTGTATTTTTAAAAACTTTTGCAATAGTATTAGATTTATAATTTATATTAAATCAATGGAAGTCGTATGAATACATAGAATTTAATTTTAACTACAAACACGTGAATGCCGTATAGAGTGTTCAGTACTTGGATTAATGTTATTATATGTTACCGAACACCCCTCTCCTATCAAATACGCATGTATAGTTAGTAACGGTTAATACAAAATTAACTTTAATATTATAAGTTATTAAGTTATTAGTATTATGTATAGAGTCACTGGAAATATTTTTATACAAATATTTTGTATTATTTGGTTGTCACAACTCGCAATTTAGAAAATACTCATAATTTATTATTTCTCCAAATATTATTATACACACCAATCACTAACAGTTCGATTAATTTTGTTTTAACTGTGTTCATTTTATTTTTCTAGTTCGACACCTACGTAAAGTCACTGAATATCGAACCTCAAGCACCTATGTTTCGAATAGTAACAGATGGACAGCTTCCAATCCGTCAGTGTTTGCACCGGGAATCATCCATTAAAGACATTGAACTGCCTGAATACTACAACGTATTCCACGACCTGCGGAAGGACTTTTCCAAATTCTACAACGCACCTCAAGACCAAACTTTTAACTCAATTACAGATCTGGTTAATTGTATCCTTTTATATTATTATATATAAAAAAAAATTCTTCTAGTAGAACTCTTCTAGTTTACTACCGGTAAGTCGTCACAGCCAGTGATAGTGTGTACACAATGTTTAGATACGTAGCGTATATACGAAACTAGTTTTACTTGTTTCAGTAGGCCTAAATTGGGTAGCCACGTATTTTTATAGACTGTCAAAAACAGGACTTCTTTTTCTCTAGAAGCCTGATGATTACCTACTAAAGTCTGATATATTCTCGAGTTTTTTTTAAAAAATAAAACTACTTCTTAATTTAACATTGACTTTAAGAAAATGTAACTAATGATTATAAGATAGTATATTAGAAAATAGGTTTAAGCTTAATCGTACTCTTGTCAATAAGAAAACAAAATTAATCATACCTTCCTTATAACCTACATTAATTATTAAACATTAATTTTCTAGGATATTTTATATGTTTATTTTTTTCTACTTTTTTTAGTATGACTTAAACAGTTAATGCGATACATTTTGTTAGTTGTGAAAGTACTGAACTAATATAATATAATAACCTGCCGAAAGACTTTTTTCTTATTGAACGGCGTCAACGCGGCAACACTTATTACACCTGTTGTCTTGGTATCAATTCGTAAATATTTTCATTTGCAAATCTAGTCTACTTATTATCTATTTCGTCCGATATATTATAATATGATGATCAAATGATCAACTATTATTACATTGACGTTTAATTTCCATTATTTTTACTTTTGACAATTTTTACATATTTTAACCTTTCGCATGATAGGAATATTTCATGTTTTACGGAGTTCCCCCATAGACAATATATATGCATGACTGTGTGTTGCTCAGGGGCTCACACATTTTGTTATAAACTGTTTTTCTTTCTTGTGTTCTCGTGGACCTTACATGTAACTATTTAAATAGTTAATATTGATTTTATTTTCACTTTTCATTTTTTCACCGAGACAAAATTATCACAGAGCACTGTCAACATTTATTTTTACTAAATTCGGCAGCGACTATAATAAGACGTGAACAATTTTATGACGCTGTCAAATCGCGTATTTTATGTTATATTAATATATAAATTAAAAAAGGCCCGATAAGTTTTTGTGCCATCAAGCCTAAAGTTGGAACTCTCAAAGATAGGTCACGATAACGGAAACAGAATATAAAAATATTAAAACATATAAGAACCTTAAAATTTTAAGTTGAATGATATTTTAAAATATTGTTTATTATAAGTATAGCAGAATAAGTAAATCAAGTAAATGCCAAGCAATCTCTTGTACGATTAATACATGGGTCTCTGTAATCGCTATAACCGTTGTGATAAGCACCATGTGGATATTATAAGTCATACCAGTTATCAATAATTAATTAAAAAATTGTTATCTCGTCTTTCGTTTAGAAAAAAACGAATATGGTATTCATATCCTACATCTACTAGTTTACATACATGATACTGATTTATAATTATCTTTCATTCTTTGTTTCCTCAACCTCATTTATTCATTGTTTTGATTATTGTAATTTATTTAAAGATAATATAACTATTAAAAGAAAATTAAAACTTAAGTTTTTCACTGATAAAAATTATGTATATATATTTAGATACCTGATAATTAATATATTATTGATAATTATCATTCCATTGTTTGAATTTATTTTTCAAAAATAAATAATATACCTACATACTATATTGGTAGATAATATCATTGCAGGATAATGCATCATTATTTTGACAATATGACCTCATATTTATATTTAATTAATTGAATGCATCAACTGCTTTAAGTATACTTACATGTACTATACAAATACGAATGTTCTATTTATTTAATTTTCCATTTTGAAAACAAAAATATAAAATAAAGTTACATCGTCATTGCTTATACTGCCTATATATATCATCACATCCGGCATTTTCACTCAGTCCTTCGCCCCTTCATCTGATTATTTGCAGTTATGAAATTATGAACTGTGTACCGGCTAACTGATTATAATTTCTGTGTTGTTTTATTTTATTATAAAATAGCGTTCGACCATTCACTAATACAAACAATAGCTGAAACTATATGTTGATGTATTTAGAATTGTTTAAATCCTAAAAACTAACCTCATATTATGACGTATATATCAACCGATCTAATATGGTCGATGATTATATTATTTACTCGTGTGATCTGTTCACACATCAAAAATCAAAATATCTTCCATAAAAATTTTGTGAAATTGAATCCATTTAAATGGCGGATAATGTGTTAATATTTTTTTTTAAATGTTTTCAATTCTTGCCCGTGCCATATTTGTCTCGATGTTTGTTAACTTACCAGTATCAATACAATTAAAAAAATAATATTAGTTTATGTCATTAACAAACATTGCAATGTATGTAAGGATGACCAGCGATGTTCTCAATCATCAATGACTAGATTAACGAATATTTAAATATTTGAATAAAAAAGTATCTGTTCAAAACTATATTTTTTTATTCAATTTTAAAAATATAAAACATACATTTAAATTTTAAACCTATTATTTTTTAAAAATTACAATTGTTTCGATTTCCATTCATATAATGTTAATAAAACTCGTAGGTATCATTCGATATTATATTGTAGTATCTCTTTTAAAAAATATAACGAATTAATCTGATATTTTTCAAATGTTTGCTATGCGTTTATATGATGTGCCTTACGATAAAAAATAAAATATATATAACTGCTCCGTTACTATAGGCAAATTAATTACCATTAGTGTATAGAATACATACAGTTAATATTTTATTTCGGGCACTATACCTAAAACTGACTTTTTTCAGATTTTTTTTTTAGACACACATTTAGTTATTTTATTACGATGTTTACCTAAAATGTTTTTCCATTAGGCATGTACATTATTTTATAGTATTGAATTATTTTAGAACGTAGTAGAAACTTATCGTAATTTGCTATGCAATTATATATTTTATCAACATTTTACTCGAGTTTTACAAATCTTTATACACATTGCTTACTATAAATAGAAAGTCAATAAATTCTAAATTACGATATTAAACTTGTATGAGGTCTACGCGGGGGACTTGTACATTTTAGGTGACTGGTGTACAATCCACGAAAAACAAACAACAACCTTCTCATCGAATCGAAAGTGATTAAGTTCACAAGTGTACGGTTAGCTTGTACGGTTAGTGAACCCAATAAAAAGTTTGATTATCACTTAACTTGTAAGCTATTAAGTCTGACCAATTTCGTGGTTACCCACACGTCAGGTACCTGATGGCGTACGCAATACATACCGTGGTAATCCCTGCCGGTTGAACCGCTATTCATAATACTATCTGGTTCCCTTTCAAATCGAAAACCACAGTTCACAATTATGCGGTATACGTGGTACCACGATGTTTTCATCCGGGGTTCTCGCTACACTCGGTGTCTTGAAGAGTTGAATATACTCGACTTGTAGGTAACGTGTCACCAACATTATGTTACTTGTACGTGTTCATTAAATATGCTAAACGTGACACGACACTACACTGTTTACTGGGTCCGACTTGAGTCTTGAGAGCATTTTTATCATCGACTAATATTGATCTACGCTCACAAAAATTTCGACAAAATAAGTTTTAAAATTAGTTTATGATTTCTATGGGGGCCATGGCCCCTATGCCCTCCCCCTTTAATTCCACCCTTGCCTTCGACTCGACGAATCCGGTCACCCGTTTTCCGAGGATCGTGCACTGGACCGGGGTTGTGACCACACATCAGTCACCAATTTTATTCACAGATATTCCTATATTATAGACAGTCGCGGTATTCAATCGCCTCTACGATCGGTATTTAGAATTGATCGTATTTTATAATATGCAACATCGTCACAAGTTTATAACTATCTGCAAGTTAGACGCACGAATCTATGTATCAAAACTCACGAATAACACTCGAAGAGTGATTCACGAATCGTCTAAACTGAGCATAATTAATATGTATATTGATATCTAGATATATATTGACTGGATCGTTTATATAATTATTAGGTATACCTAATGTATGTAATAAGTGAACTTATTATGCGGTAAATATATTTATTACATTTTTTATTTGTATATATGTAGGTAATGTCTACATAAAATATTAATATTTATAAGACGTTAACATTTATTCATTTTTTTCGACTTCTATTAGATGTATATATTATGTACTGAATGCGCCCAAAGGTCATAATTTTGTGTGTTTTATTACGTATTTAAATATTTCATTTCTAGAGCAGCTGTATAATAATATTAAGTAGGTATGTATAAAACATATATTCGAATATAAATTGTATTGTTATGTAAATGAGTTAGTCGAGTAAATTAAAAGTATCAATGCCTGTCATATTATTCTAAAAATAAGATATATAGCCAGTTAATTTGGTAGTATTTAAAAATTGGTAACAGTCATTGCTGAAGTGCACACGATATATTATTATGTCACGTGCGCCACGTACCTCACTTTTCTTCTTTGCATTTTCATTTCATTGATAATTATTGTAATATTATTATGAGTGTCCCATCGTTTAGAAATATACTTAAATCGTAATACATAATCCAACGGATTTGGTGATCGTAATAATAAAATATCTTTCTTCTCTCGTAATTTATCAATCGAATGTCTCAAATATACCTACTCGATTTGAGTCTTCGTATATTCTTCATAAATATCTAAAATATTGTATAACTAGAAACATTGCATAACTAATACATTTGTACGTTTCAAAGGGTCAATGGGATTATCTGAGGATTGTAAATGGATAAAAAATATTGATAAACCGACCCTTAGATGCGTGTTATGAGTTATAACCGAATCGCCTTTCTAAGTATAATATCATTTAATGTCCTATATACTATAATTTATTATATAGATGACTGAGTACTAAAATTAATGGTTTCAAATTATTTATAATATTATATAGTTCATTATTACATTACACGTAATAGGTACATAATAATTGCTTAGTTGT